CGCTAAGCTAAGCTAATCTTAGCTAAGCTGAGCTAAGCTAATTGGCTGCTGGCTTTGGCTTTCTATTTATTGGACAAATAGGAGTGTGGTATCAATCAAAAGAAAGCAAATAAGTGTATGGCTTTCACAAAATGTCAAACTATTCCTTTTAGTTTAGTCTATAGGCACCATGTAAAAATGTGTTATGCATAACAGGATATCTGTTTCTTATATAATAAAATTTTGTTTTGGAAACTGGCAACTGGGCACAGGTGGTGAGAGGTTAGTATTTTATCCCTATTGTTAAAGTAAAATAAGCACAGGCTATGAGTCAGTTATTACAGTGCCTGTATAGTAGATGGAACAATGTGTCTTGACCGCTAAACCTTGGTTTATATGTTTTATAGATAGATCCTCCCCCCACCAGTGTCAAAATTCAGCTTCACCCAAAGGACCTTCTCACAAAGCATGCAGGAGAAGAGCAGTCCAATTATGATGCAGGGCTGGGTGAGGAGTCTGTGGTGGCTTTTTCCCCCCTCAGTGACTTCACTTTGTTGGTAAGTCTGCAAATTCTGCGGCGGCTTTTTCTTGGCCCGTGAGCCGGCAGTTCCCCAGACTCCACACCACAGAAAAAATTAGCTCAACCAGCAAGCCTCATTCAGCTGCTTCTTTCCTTCTGTACCCTTCTATTTAATGTAAGCACTGGAACAAAAAGCCCCCTGTCTATTATGGAAATCATTGTGGTTGTGGTGAACGTACATATGCCGTCTTTCTGTTTTCAAATGTGAATGAGCGTGATGCGTTGGAACATTGGATAAACAGTCATGCGGGGCAGAACAGTGCAAATGCTTTAAGAACTTTTGGTGGGGTAGAAAGGAAGAGAAAGACGTACCTGCAGTGAAGAGGAACACAGCTACGGTGCGGTAGTGCTGTCTTTGTGTCCCTCTGCAGAGGGAAATCAGGGCCACCAAGAAGGCCACCAGAGTTGCCACGGCTCCGGCCACCAGCAGCACCAGGGTGGCAATCTGCCAGTCTGCAGGACGAGACACACGCAGGTTAGAGTGGAGCATCCCAACAAAAGCTCAATTCACAGGACAACACTGTTGAATGGAACCGCTGTGTTGACAAACACAAAGCGAGAGCTAATTCCACAGAGTGAAGTGAGTGAAGCAGAATGGACTCAGGCCTGCACGGACCATCAGCAAAACCTGATTAGTAACTCGGTAGCCACAGTCATTAGATTAAATATGCAAAATGTACCTGCAAGTCATCAGTTGTCAACAGCTGCCAACCTGTACATGAAGACATTAAAACAGCTGTTTCCTTTAAATGTTGTCAGTATTTTCAGATGTAATATAAAGATGTATGTATAGTATAGTGTAGAAGGCAAAGCAGACCAAAATAAATCAAGGACAGGTTTACTATATTTATGTAGATTTTTACATGAAAAAGTACTATATTTATTTCTTGGTGCTATGTAATCATTACTGTGCACTCCAAATATCATGTGTAAGCGTGTACAACACTGTGACATCTCCATGGAGTTTCTGCTTGTGGCTGCCAGCCTTTTCCGTGTCGGTTCAGCCGTGGTGGCTTTCTAACAGCACGTTTGTTCTATTTATTCCAAACAAACTCCAGTTGCTCCTGGTGGAAAAGTAAAACTCACTTCCTCTGCGTCAGAGGATTTGTCCCTGGAAAGACCTACACAACACTAGTTTGTTAAAGCATTTTAAAGCTTTTCTGAACTGAGCTTAGCTCTGTATTCAGTAAAGCACTGATACAGAGTCTGAAACCAGAAATGTATTCAGAAAAAATGTGAAATATTTCCAATTCTGCCTGCATTGTGTATTCCCTCTTTGATGGCCCACTTTTCAGTGTCAGAAGAAAGCCTAACCTCAAAAGACTCAACTCAAAGGGAGAATTTGCATTTGGTGAAGCTAACAACCTCAGCGAGCAATCTTCGCTGGGTGTGTCTCTCTCTCTTTGAGCTCCTGATTAATTTGTCTTCAGGAGGGTAAAAAGTAACTTTTCCCTAATGACACATCTGAACTCGATTTTATTTCCCCCTCATAACATCTTTGGTCCATTATGTGGTTATAATTTTGGTTTGGTCAAAAAAAAAGTCAGTATATTTTCCTATTGCTCACCACTTACTATTTATTCTGTATCTGCCAGATTACATCACTCCAACAATAGACTGTGGGGTAGAAAATGTGTATTTATTTGTGAAGAAATGCACAAATAAAGAATGTTTTCACAAACAGTTGTCTTTGTGCTATTTATTAAAAGAGAGTAACAGAATAAGTTAATTCGGCTGAAGGACAGAGCTCTAAACACTGTAGTGTATGCAGAGAGTCTGACAAAAGATACAGATAACCAAAAGCATATATTGCTACCACACAGATAGGGAGGAACATCAGTGACTTTAGCAAAATCCTTTCTCAGCCTTGAGCCACATTGGGAGGGAAAGAAATATGTCTTTCTCACATGAACTGACTCCTCTTTATTCTCCATGCTCCAAAACAAATTTCATTGTACCAAAACACAGGTGCACTTTAGAATATACAAATGGCCATACTACTTAAAAGGTTACAGAATTTCATAACAGCATTAAAGACTTTACAAATCCATACAAGGTAATGATTAATTTTCCTCTTACAGACTGAAATTCAAGAATCTTGGGATGGTTATGAGAATATGTGCGTAATAAATCTGCTTTGCCTTTTGGTGAACTTCCCCTTTAACCTCAACACGCCCCTCTACTGTTGCTTTAATGAGCTCTGCAGACACTCAGAGCAACAAACCCACCTCCTATTCACCCCAACACATTCCTCAACATCAGAGAGCGGTCAGTCACATCGAGGCAATGTTTCCCTCTACATAGCTGTACATGTTTGCATCTGTGATTGTGGTCAAAGTGCACCAAAAGTCTCTCTGGCCAGTTAATATTTATGAACTGCTAAAATCCTAAATATTTTTCATACTTATGGAAACCAGTAAGGACAAAACTACTAAATGTTCTTTAAATTTGTATTTAATTTTATATGGTTTGCTATTAGTCTTTTTATTACTATTTTAACAGCCAACTACAGTATGTTTAACAGAGACAAAGCTCCAGCTAATAACAACCCAACCTCCTGTACCAGCCTCCAGCCAAATGCTGGTAAATCTGGTACTTTTAATGTGGATTTCCTCCCCTGGTGAGGAAAGGAAGGGGGGTTGGAGCCATAAACACTTCTGTCATGTGGCTTCTCTGCCCAACAAAAGGCAACCTGGTGGGTCCAGTGATGCTAATGATGGGGAAGATGGTGACTGTGTCTCCTCAGACCCAGATCAAATGTTCTTGTTCTTTCTTATCCTAATCATGGAAGCTGACATTGAATTGAACTTCAAATAGTGTTAAAGCACTGATGTCAATATTTAAATGTAACAGTGATTCACTAAGCCTTTGTTGACTGAGTCACCAGTCACAGTCACTAATTGTCACAAAAAATCAACATGGTTTGAACTCATGCGTGCTGAAGTTGCTCATGAATCAGTCCAACCTTGCTGGCTGAGCAGAGCATCACAATGTGTTTGTCACAGTGACACCACGTCACTGCTCTGGTATGAAGAGAGGATATGTTTCAGCCGCAGGAGAAAGCCATGATACCTCAGCTTCTGTGCAGAGACCAACAAGCCGACTGAAACAAAAACCCGCCAGGGGAGATGATGGGCAAAGCTGCCAAACACATTTTCCTCCTTGTTTTTTAGCAAATAGGGTGTGCAGCCTTTGCGTGGCCCTAAAAACAGACCCTGAAACAAACCACTGATAACATGGCAGTGTAAAACCATCTCTACAACATACACGGATGGCATTGCTTTAGGTATTATTATATAACTGGCAGAGTTTTCCCTTAAAAAAGTACGTTACTACACTACAACCTTGAGATCACAGCTTTCTAAACCATGGGGCACCTTTTCTCAAAACAACATCATCCTAACTCCGAGTACAGAAAGTTATAAACAACAAAGGACGGTGGAATAAACCAAACCCCGACTCCTACCAGATGTGAGGGTGGAGAAGCAGCTCCACTGAGCCTCCTCCGTCGGATGCCGTGCCTCGGACTGGGAGCAGGACTCCCACAAAGAGAGTGAGAAATGCTCCGCGGTGACCCAGGCTGGGCTCAGCAGAGCCACCACGTCCAAACACAGCGCCAGAAAGACGCACAGCAGAGCGATGAGCTTGAAGGGCCGGAACACATACACCTCGTTCACAGACATCTTCTCATAACAGGATACACCGCTGCAGGTCAGTCAGGGTGAAGTGAGCTCGCTCGCGGTCCGTGTGCGTCTTTACCCACCATACCCTTCACTGCTTTGTGTGTGTGTGTCCAGCTGGAAAAGTTTATAGGGAGACATCCGGTTAGCTCGGATTTTCAAAATAATTGCTCTTTTGTTAGGTCACTTCATAGGCTGGTTAATTCTGAGATTACCAGAAAAATATTTCCAATAAACACGATTTCAATTAAATATAATTTCATGTAATTGTTATTTGTTATTTATACGACTCAGTGCAGAGAAGACCAGCCCTCAATTGCTGTGCTTTTATTTTGAAAGTCGCGTTAGGAAATGAGACTTGGTTACGGTCCTCGGAGGCAGCAGCGTCCTTTCAGAGGGTTGGCGAGCTGGTCCAAAGAAGTGCTTGAAGTTGTCCACACACACGCGCACACAGAAACACACAGACACACACGTTTGCAAGAAGGTCGTAGGGTAGTGTTGGGTAAGACGCCCCCCCTAAGCTCAATGTCTATTTGCTGACACATAAAATAATATTTTATAGGGGTTTTTTTGTATCTTGGAGATGGTCATGCTTAGGGTAACATAATATAAAGTAAAATAAATACCTACAGTTGAGAAATTAATTAGAATTTAATCAGATGTAAATTTTAGGAGAAAGGCATTTTTCCCAGCTGGTGGGGTAAGATTTTGCTCAATATTGTTTGAATAAAACCAGCTATGATTCACCAAGTAGAATTTAATTATATTTTATCAGGAATGTCAAAGATGCAGAAAATGTTTAAAATGTTACTCATTTGGACTTCACTTTGGTTTTAATCGCCTTGCACTTCTTTCCAAGCTGCTTTGCACCACATGGACATGGTCATCTGCTACATTTTTAAGGGACCGCCATTTTTTCAAAGGTAAGATGTTTAATTCAGTTTAATTATTGTTAGTTAATGAAAAAATTATAACCAAGATGTAACAAGTAACAGGTAGCTAACATGCGTTACTACAGGTTACCAAACATTCCAACTTTACTGGCTGTGAAAAAGTGTCAAAATATAAGTTTGTCTATAGTGATTCTAAGCCAGCCTTTGTTCGTTTCAATGTCAGAATTTCATGTAGAACATTATATATAATGCCCAGCTAATCAAATTTTTCTGGCCTTGGCACAAGCTTCCACCCCTCCTCCCCCATAACAAGCTAGCTAGCCTTAGAGACTGCATTAATGCACAAATGTAGTAACGTTAACGTTAATTACAAATTAAATTTACTGCATTTAGTTTTCTCAGGCAAATTGTACTGAAGAAAAAAAAAATTATTGAAGAAGTTGGATATTTTCGGGGCAGCTAATGTACAGCTCATAATTCACTGTATCAGCACTGCTGCTGGCTGGCTTTTCCAACCCAGACATAACATTACTCATAATGACAAAGCACAATCACAATAAAATCTAGGCTATTTAAGATTGTATAGCCGCTATATGCTTGACTCAAACTGTTAAAGTAGTTCCTTCACAATTAATGGGTTTAATTACACTCAAACAAGGCATTTAAAAGTGTTGTAAGAACAATATGTAAACTTGTGATATTTGAGGCTTTAAAGCTGGTTTCATTATTTGTCTTTTCCAGACTCTCAGGCTTCTGAACCTCTTCCACTCCAAGGGCGGAACCATGGGGTTGAGGCAGTGAAGGCTATCCTACTCAAGGTACCCTTCAATGACTATTATGTTTTCTAATGTCCTATTCTGTAATCCAGTCTGCCACTGAGCTCTATGTACTTGCCTCTTAAAAGAAGAGGTCAATATTTTGGGTATTTCTCTTTAAGAGTTAGATTTTCTTTACCAGTCTTCTGTACTATAAATATGAAGCTAAAACCAACACGATAGCTTGTCGTAAAAAGTGGAAGATTTTCTGACTTTGTTGAAAGGTAACAAAATGTGCCTACCAGCACATGTAAATCATACAAAAGACAAGGTGTAAACTGTTGTGGTTTTATGGGAGTTTATGTGGACCACCTCCTGGGTAATGGCAGGATGTGTTTCATTAGAATGGTCCATGGGACAGCACATCAAGGATTCTTGGGGTTTATTTAGCAGTAATATCAGACACCTAGTCTAAGAAAATTGCAGCTTCAACAGAAAATCATCACAGTCCATTTTAGCACTGTGGATGATTTTTACACCATGAACTTGAATTATGTTTGTTTGTTTGTAATTTTAGGCTCCAAGCAATCCTAGCATCAACATGACCATAGATGCTGTTATTCAGTGTTGGTGAACCTTGGGGAATCTACAGATCAACTTTTAAAAGAGCATGATGTAAGTTGATGAACACGTTAAAATACAAGGATTGATTTAATCTCCAAAGATTTTATATTACAAATACTTACAACTGTGACCATTTTTTTGGTTTGTTAGTGATCTGAATGATTGCTTACCTGGCATGAAAATATTATTTTGCAAGTGCATTATCTCAATTTTTTTTTGTCAAAGTGTTGGAAGCAATTTAGTAGCTGTTCAATTAGGACCTTCTTCTTTGGTTGTATAGTATTAAATACACAATGTTCTTGCTATTTCAGGATGCTGATGAAGACAGTGTGTAACAGGACCTTGCTGTAAAAAGGAGGAAAATCAACATCATTAAAACTACTACGTCAGAGGGTCCTGACGATATCGGTATCGTGGTAGAGGGCATGAAAATTCTGATTGCTCTGGGTAACTTTCCAAGGGCTCCATGGTCGTTGGTTTGGCATACAGTGAATCTTGCCTATCCCAAGGAACTCAGGTACACGTTTGAATTCTTCCAGAAACTCCTTCTCAAGCTGGATTGCTTAAAACTGTCCCCAAAAGTGAACAGCCTCAAGAATAAGCTACTAGTTTAAGAAACGGGACCCTCACAGAATGAAGTGGAACCATTAAGTCATTGTCCAAACTGTCACATGATGACCCACTCACTGTGGAGGAGCTACAAACTGTCACTGAAGGAGACATTCTCCGAGTAATATTTGATGACTGAGTTGAGATGTTGCTTATTCCATCAGGAATCCCATCCACTGTGGAGGAGCTGCAAATTGTTGTGAAAGAGTCCTTTGGAGTTCAGTTTTCAGTATTTAAACTTTTAGATTACTTTACTCTCCATAAAAGTGACCAAATTAAACATAAAGACACCATAAAGACTGTACACACTGCTCTGTCTGTTCTAAACTTGATTTCACTTGATGAAAGTTTGGGCAGTGCTTTTGAGCAGTTACGTAACTGACTAAAAAATTATTGAGTTTCAAATGGTTGCTTATCAAAAAAACTGGCCATACTCATTTGATGGGTATGGAATTTTGTTTTAGAGTTAATATGGCCCAGGCAGGAGTGTTGTGATTGTAGGTTGTGATTCCACTGTGTACACTAAGGATGCAAATTTGACATAGGCGATTGTTCAAGTGAGAACTAAAAAAATATTTTGCAGTCTGAAAACATTGTCTTAATCTAAATGAGAATCTAAAGCAATGCTGTAATGTGGTAATGATCCAGCAGATGGCAGACATGTGACATATTGGATGCTAAAGCCCACAAAACTACCACACTATTCCTGTTATTACTCCCTCTTACCACCAATATACAATGCTTTGTATAATTATTAGTAGTAGATGACATTTTATGAGCAGTAGCAGTAACAGCAGCAGGGTTTATATGGACACATTGACCACAAAAGACATGAAAAATCCAGTGCTTGCTGAAAATTGTTGCGACATAATAAGAATAGAGCTGTCTATTAGCTTGTTGGTCTTTTCTCTTAATCCTGTTTTGGCTTCGTCACACAGCCAGTGTGTAGGCCGAGCTCACTGATATTTTTACCTCCTTTGGGAAATAATTCTTTGATCCACACTCAAACGCATGTTGAGTTTAATATCTCTTATGAACAGCTACAGAATAAAAAAAACCCACCCAATTAATCCTGCAAAATGAAATGACAAGTACAAAGTTAGATATGACTTCAACGCACTTTAATATTCATTCAGTCTACATGTCCTGTGAAATATTTCCATCTTCTGGTGAACAGAATAACTGCAGGTTATGAGCTCAGGCAGGACTTGTGGAATAATTACTCACTCTCCTATGTGTTGTACAAATTTTGGAGCATGTGGAAATGTTTCACGAGCAGCTATGAACTCATTAACAAGGGATAAATAAAGTTATGGTTGGCAATCAGTGACTGGCTTGATTACTGATCATATTAATAACATGAGCAACAAATGTGGATGATCAGATGGAAATGAGACGATCCAAATCTTCTCCTAATCACTTATGTTCAGTGACGATGATTACTCTTGCAGTACCGAAAGAATGGTCATTGATGCCATACCTTCAACTGCCACACCAAAACAGAGAAAAACAGGCGAAAATCATTTGTAATATCTTTAGTGTCAGGCTGCCCATCACGGTGTGTTTCTCAGCTGTTTTGACATGGATCCAGGCAGTTAGTGAGTGAATACATTTTCCACAGTGAGAGGAGATAATAAAACATCCAACTCAAGAGCCTTTATTAGCATTTGGAGACCTCTTCTAAAATGTACTTGTCAGACCTTCCTCTTCACACATTTTTGGTGGAGTGATTTATTGACCAACTGTCATGAATCTGTTTAATAATAATACCATGATGATGAAAGGGGCAACTAGTTTACTGAATGTGATCTGATTTGCTTCCTTCCTCCTTAGGTATAGAACATATATCTTCTAGATCCATGTGTCTTTGACTTAGATGGCATATCTGATTTCTATCAATAAGTTTGTATACCTCTCTACTCTGTGTGGCCTGTCCTTTATAACAACCTGTCTTTTCCCCTTTCTTCTCAGTTTTTTCTAACTAAGGAAATCCATTGCCTACTGCAAATAAAATGCACAGTTATATGGTAGTATATCAGAAAAAACCCAGAATGTCTGTGCAAAGGAGGGATTTGCTCTAACATTTCTGTTGTATTGTATTTCAACTCCAACCACTAGTTTAATCTATTCACTACAAGTAAATATTCTGAGCACAGCATTTGCTCTGCAAATAAAGTTCTCCAGTGTAAAGAACAAACAAAACTGATTTGAGTACTTTGAATTACACCTCTGCTGCCTTCTTGCCCAGCTTGGTTAAATCCTACCCCTATCATTTGCCTAGATTAGAGGTTTTCAGTCTATCTGACATAATGAGAGTTTCAGACTAATGCCACCCTTCTCAGTCCTAATGGTGCTGCCAAGCTGCCAGCAGGACATCTGAGTAGGGGGAATCTAGTATTAGGCGTATCCATGGACAGAGCATTGCTCATTTCCTTTAAATGCCCCTCCTCCCCGACAGAATAGGCAGAGCGCTCTGTCATCCTCCTCCAAAAGCCCCTCATTAGAAAATCTGCAGAGCAGACAAAGCTACTTGAGACGGCACAATGGTGACTCCCCACATGGTGATTTGAAAGAGCATAAAGGAAATCCAAGTCATGTCTGAATTTTTTTGGATCCTCTCTCCCTGACTTTGACTTATCCACTGAGCCACCAACCTTCTGTTCAGTTTCATCCACCGCATTTTAAATATTCAGGAGAGATTGCTGAGACCCCCACATGCCAACACAGGGACTCACATGGCTGGTTTATGCATTTTCTCCACGATGAAGACAACAGAGCAAATAAAGTAACAAAGAGGTAAAGAGAATGAGATGATGGAAGAAAGTAGGAAAAGGGTAGAGCATTTTTTTTTAAAAGTAAACACATGACGATGACTCACATCTCTGATTCAGCATAATTTACGATGGTGATGATGATGATGAAGAAGAAGAAGGTTATATCGTGACTCGGAGGAAGAAAAAGCTTCTTTACAAAATACTCATCACATGACGTCATCCTCTATTGCTCACCGTGGTCTTCCTGGAGTGGCTGCAGCTGATTAGGCTCAGAATAAGCCTCTCAAGGTTTTTCCAGCTGTGAATAAGCTTCCATGGTAACTGATGAGGCTTTGTTTAATAATGCTGCTATTACTACAGAGGTCTGTCCCGCTCATCTCCCTCTTTACCGTAACAACATCACACCATCACGAGTCATGCCATGGTCAGACTCTTTGAGCAGATGGATTTAATAAAATAAATAAATAAAAACATTTAAAAACTCTCATGGATCAGGAATGTTAGCCCACACACTCTCATTCATTTTCTATTTTCTTTTATAGTGTTGTGGAATTTAATTCTCCAAAATACGTATTATAATAGCATTTAATTATAATATATAATTTTTACTATACATCACAGTTACCTTGTACCATGTTAGCATGCTAACATAATGCTACTAAGCACCAAATTACAGCTGAGGCTGATGGGAATTACAGTCTTAACCTGTTGATGGTGTTAAATGAAAAGTCATTGATGGAAAGTAAATAGAGTACATTTCTCCAAGTACTTTACTTTAGTATGTCTATTTCTGCTACTTCCTGCACTAGGCAAATATTGTACCTTTTACTCTACTACATTTATTTTTATCATGTCAGTTAATAGTAATTTTGCAGATTCAGATTCATTAATAAAACAATCAACAAATACAGTATAGTGTATTATAGGTTAAGATAGTGTGCATGAATAATTGCAATCCAATACTAAAATGTATTTTTCTGAAATGGGTCATTCTGCATAATGAGTGCTTTTACTTTTGGTACTTTAAGTATATTTTGATGCCAATGTCTTTGTACTTTTAAGTAAAAGTTTGTGTAACACAGTCCTTCTACATTGTGGTATTGCTAATTTTACTTAAGGAAAAGATCTGAGTACTAGTTAAGGGATCACCAAAGTTTTTAAAGTTCATCCTGAGTTGGACATTAATTATTTGTAGCAATTTTCATGCAATCCATCCAATAGCAGTAGAGTAACGATTTCATTGGACACTGTAGCTTGTTTAGCTCGTCACTGTCCCTCCTTGTTTAACTGTTACACTGTAACACTAATCACATGCAGCAGCACATTCAGCGTTGTCTCCTGAACACCACGGTCATCAGAGCACATTGGTTGCTCAAAGTCACCTTGAAGCACCCCCTGTTCAAATGTTTTCAGGAGAGTTGCATTTTCCCCCCTTCAAGGAGTATTTCATTGTGTCCTCCAAGTCAGTCCAGCATACAAGTGCAACCCAGAGCAGCTGTGTTTGAAGTGCCTTGCTCAAGGTCATGTTGACAGTTAGTGTTAAGGGAGGCGACAGCATGTCTCCTTTATTTCCTGAACTCTGACTGAGCAGCTTGCCAGGGGATTTAAACTGATGGCTTTCCATTTTCAAGTTTATCCTCATGACTACTGCTGCTGTAGTGACTCTGCAAAAACGCTGAAGTGGGTTATCAGAAGAACTGTGATAGATTAATTCGGACTGCTGAGATGAAGGATTTCTCGCAGCAGCATCAACCCCATCATCATCACTGTCTCATCATATTGTGATTTCGCATTACAACAAATTGGAAGAGACAGCAATTAAGGTCACGAAGACTGAAGGCCACTTATATTTTGAGAATCCTCATCAGACAGTTCTACTCACTGGTGTGCAGAAGTGTCAAATAAGGGCCTCATTTGTGTTAAATTTTCACAAAATTTTAGAATGACAGATGTATTTATGAGAGACGCCAGTGATTGTGTTCTCTATGCAAAGCCCTGCTTCTTGGCTTCACAGTCACTTTGCAGTCCCACTGTGTTCCTGGATGTCCACCTGTCTCTCAGTGGCCTGGCCACTCTGGGCCTGTCTGCCAGCTTGTGGACATCTGTTTACTTCCTCCTCCATCAGTCGTCATGGCCGCAAACACCCCCAACTATCGCCACCAGACCCCTCCCCTCGCTGGCCGGCCTTCCCCACCCCACTCTCGTCCTTCCCCCAGACACCAGCTGTGAACCACTTATGCTCATCCTGCAGCCCACCTCATTCAGCCTTGTCATATCGGCGGCCAGCACAGCACTCTTGCTGAAATTGTCACTGTACTTGGCTGTTTGTACTGGTTTGCTGACCCACAAATCACCTTATTTAAATACACGCACTAAAACTGGCTGAAACTGGGTGTATGTCCATTCAAGTTTAAAAAAAACCCCAAATTAGATATGGTAAATTGTGCAAATGGTTAAATTGTATAGAGATAGGCAAATGTAGTTTTAAATATCCATTGTATCTGTTTACCACGCATGACATGTCACACTATAACAGATGTGATCCTACTGACTTGAAACATTGAATATGTACACTGTGTAGCTCACTGTTCGGGTTGATCTACACTTTATGATGTTTTTATTAATTTATTTGGAAATAGTTTGTTAGTAAATTGGGCATAAAAAAACTAGGCATAACTAACAGGAAGGACATTTCACCAGAAAGGCATTCTATGTTTGAGACGCAGAATGCGTCTCCAAATCGTCTGTTATTATGAGGCTCTTTATTTGAAAGTTATGATGTATGAACGCATGTTAGGATATTTCAATTTTATCATCTTGAATAATTTCAGTGCATCAGAACTTTAATTCATTGGCAAAACATTTTACCCTAATCTTTTTATGCCTCATGAATAGAGGTTTGTAAGGCCAAAAACATACAGTAGACACGTGTGTCTCTACGGTATGTGTACAGTGCGTATGAAACCTCTGTGTTTACACTGACAAATGGTGATGCAGTTGAACTGTCAGCCCAGGATTGGTTGTGCTTTTATGGATGGCATTTTAGCACAGTATAATGTATACTGGATAATGTTTTATGTGTTTCAATTTCCCTTTCTGTTCAAACTCTAAATCTGTGCGAGCAAAAAGTACATATTGAGAAGATTTCTTTTCTTTAAATCCAAGCCATACAGTCCTCTAACTGTAACAAAGCATTATAAGATGATTTCATAGCCAAACAAGGAATTATGTGACCAGCTTTTGAAAGTTGCTGAGTACATGTTTAGTTTTGGCATGAAACACTGTGTGACACGGCACCCGACAGAGAGCCAAAAATCCAAATCTGATCCTCTTCCCATATGCCCCCAAATTAATAAACTACCTCCCGCACTGACACTTTCTTCTCTGTCCCCTCTGACAGACTACAGACAGTGGGCAGCAGCCCTTTGGGAGCTCACTGAGGGAGGTGTGGAGCAGCCAGTGATCAGAATGAATTAGAGTTATGCATGACATGCAAAGGAGAGGCTCCAGAATGTGACAACAGCTGAGTTTTAAAGTGAAGCTTTTCCGCCTGAGGGGAGAGGAATAGATGACAAAGAAGGTGCAGCCTGCTGTGAAAAGAGTCAACTCCTTTTGTTGGCTTTTTAAAAGCAGAGAACTGTTATCTATTGGTCTTCTCAGTCAAAGCAGCTGGCTACTCAGTGATGTCTATAGGCATCAAGGCAGAACAACTAATTAATGAACATGGTTGCCACAGTATAAACCATCTTTGCACCTGACCCTTCTTAGTATCCTCACACCTTCAGCAATTCAAATCCCATGTGCAACTATGTTGATAACGGAGACAAAAGAGATCTGCTTCCTAAATTAAATTTCTTGCCACTTTTTGCAATATTTTTGTGTAGCCAGATTTCAAGCATTCACTTACATTTCTTGCTCCCCCCAAAAACATTATTTTCACTGTAATTCATTATAGATGTCATTTGTTTTTGCCTCTGATTTTAATCCACAAGATCCACTGGGAATTAAAATAATAGTAAAACAGTAAATTATTGTGACTGCATATTATGTGGATTATGATGCCAATAACCCACAAAATGAGACAAAATCACCAGAAAAGGGTATAAAGACAGCAAACCAGGCCTTCTTAAACTATCCTTTTGTGCACTAATTTTCACCTTCTGTTTGCCCTAAAGGCAGTCCTGTTTAAGCATTAGAGCAAAAATGAAATTGCTGGAACCTTATACATTTGTATCGTGGCCCAGTTTTGAGGCCCAGAGGTCATTACTGACATCTCTGAAGCTCTACGTCTCACCTTTCCCCGTGATATCAGCGTGAGCAATCCTGAAGTTTAGTCATTAAATGTTGGCTTGCTATATAGACTTTCAGAAGTAAAATACTAAATAATATGGTTCCCTGACAAGTAATCACTCATTTAAAGGAACTAGAAACAAAGGTCAAACACAAGCACTGTGGTATTCAAGCTATTATCTTCTACCAACAAAGAACTCCAGCAGACCAAATACATCAAACTGTGGTTTGATTCAAAGGGACACACTTCTGAGGATTTTGACCTGTGGGGACACACACAGAAAGCCACAGTCTTGTAGGGCAATAAGAACATAAAATCAGGAGCTGAAATCAGAATCAGAGAGAATTTCAAGAAAAGAAAATGTACTTTCACAGACAGAAAGAGGAAGTTCCTCACACAGAAATATCATAAGATCTCTAATAGGGTCTTTCATCTTTCACCCATTATTGTAAATAAAAGCCTCCTTTTATTGGGGCAAGTCTTTAGTGTCCATGTACCTTTGGTGAGCCTGATGCCAGCTCCGCCCCAAGGCCACACTGACTGGTACCTTTAGTATTTCCACAGTGGGCGGGTCCGGCGCTCGTTGGCTTTAGGACCCAGTGGCTCAGCCAGTGAGGCAGGCAGCGGCTCGGCTCAGACTGAAGCAGACAAAGGCGAAGGGAGAGACGGCGTGCCGCTATCCTGCAGCATCGACTCACAAATTCACACACACACTCCCCCACGCACCCACTCCCTTCACTCCGCAAGCAGCGACGCAGGTGAGTCCGCTACCGGGTGGGATTATCCACAGACATTACTGATTAAAGGCAAATTAAATTGGGCTGGTTGAAATTTGGAGTGGGCAAGTTGAGATGACATTGTAGGTGTTTCTGTTTTGAGGAAATTATTTAAGGCTTTTCAGATGTGCGTTTGAGCAGGTGGATTGTGAGTAGGTGTGCGCACACCCAACACCCCCCTCCTTTTTTTTCCTAAAGGAAAAACTTGCTTTTTTTGCCGCTGTTCTCTGCCATGTGGCTGCACACATCCATCATACATGAGAAGTGCAGTATCATGAAACTTTTTTCTTCCTTTTGTGACTGTGATGTAAAACTAGCTCTGCGTGGCGTTGGTGTTTTCTAGATAGATAGCCTACTGCCTGTAGATCAGCTTTAAAGAAGATGACTGGAGAGTCATAATGTAGGGCTGGTTTTTCAGGAGTGTGTAGTCACCGGGGTGTTGTGTGGGTGGCTCAGGCAGGAACACAGAACCAGTCAAAGATAACAATGATACCGCGCAGTACTGCAGTGCTGCTTAATGCTCAGAGCAGGTTTTAATTTGCGAGGATGCATGTGTTTACTGGGGCTGCTATTTATTGTTAAAAGACTGAACCATGAGAAGAGAAAAAGCCTACTCATGATGTAAAACTAGATGTCATGTAGTTTAAAACTAAAAAGCTTTAATTGACTGAGAGAAAAATCAGTGCACCATTATTGCCTCCATTGAGAAGATGGCCTTTCTGGACTCATGCTGGATAATAAGCTGGCTGCTCCTCCAACAAGGAGCAGCAGCAGCAGTGATAGTGATGTCATTCTGAAGGCAGGCACCCCTTTTTGAGACAATGGACTGTCCTAGTTGATGCTCCTCTGGGGAAGGGTCACTGTTAGCATTGCCCATTAGTGCGGCAGATGGGCTTGAAACCTGGCCTTTGTCAGCTGAGGAGCCTCGGTGATTCCACAGAAGTCCCACCCCTATCAGAGTCCCTGTCATAAAACCCAGGTCAGCAGCACAGCCAGGGGTTAGCAGGGGATTGGAGGGCCCCACCAATGGATGGGTGGCGGCAGCATGTTTCCTTCTGTTTTATTTTAATGGTCACCGTTTGTCCATGTGGTCCCCTACCATTTTTGCACCATGTAGGGCATTGAAGTGTGCAGGACAATGCAGGAATACAACTTGTTAAAGATTCAGTGAGCAAAGAGAATTGTTAGACTTGAATTCAGTGGTTCGAAGGTTTGTGTGAAGATTTTTAATGTCAAATATTCATTAGAAGTAGAACTGCATGATAGGTTTGACATCAATAGGTCGATTAAATATCAGAAAATAGTGAGAAGTGTCCAAGGTGACCTCTCCACATGTCTTGTGTTGTCTGACCAACAGTCCACAACCTAAAGATATTCACATTTTGCATTGATATAAAACAGAGAAAAGCAACAAATCCTCCCATTGGAAAAGCTGGACCAAAGCTGTTTGGGATTTTGCACAAAATGGTGTAAACTCGACAAAAAAGGTGACTACACTGCATATCCTAAACGATATGCAGTGTATGTGGTGTTAACAAGCCACTCAGAGATGAGATGTGTTCAAAGACCAGTGACCTCCATAGTCAATATTATCAAGTCTTAATACTTGCTAATTAAACAAGTGACATGCATGACATCTTTGCCTTATTCTGACATTTTGAGTTTTTCTATGGTTCAGTGGATTTATTTGTAATACTAGAGAAACTACTCCAGCAAACTACTTAAACTACTTACTTAAAGAACAGTATATTGAAAATGAAACTATATTAGAGGAGCAGGACTTTTGTTGTTTAATTGGCAAAAGTTCCTCTTTTATGTGGGTGGGTGTGGGTGTTTTTCATGGGTGTGCATCATGTTCAGTTTGAAAGCAAATGGTTCAGTGAGTTTTTGTGGCTTTAAGAACTGTGTTGTGGTCATCAGGTGTCAGATTAAGAGGAAGAGACAGTCCATTCAGTAGCATAAGTGCTTTACTGTTTACTGGCTGAACAGATGCATCGTTTGCATAATTTCCAAGAAACAGGAAGAGCTGGGTCTCCTGTAACATTCAAATCCCTACTATTTTAGATTAAAAAACAGGGTTAACATTGTCTTTCAAATGATGAAAGTTTCAACTAAGCTTCAAATCCAGGTGTAATGCTGTGAAACCTAAAATTTCAGTAGAAGTACACTGATAACACTAAAATTCACTTACTGTAACACTTTCTCCACTTAAATATTAAACACTGCTCTGAGAATACATTATTTTTACTAAACAGTGTGGATCTACCAGTGTACAGTATCACAAGACTTTGACATCTGATCTTTTACACATAACTTGGTTTCAAATCCCCAAAAATATACAATGGAATACCCATACTCAAGATGTTGGAATACTAATAATATTGATTAATAGTATTCCAACATCAACAACAAGTACTACAATTTCAATTTACCTGTATCACCCAAACCTAGTATGGGTTGTTCTGCCACCTCTTTTTCTGTTTTTCAACACCTTTACTGTTTTTTTCCCCACATACGCCTCACTAAATGCATTTTTATTACACAGGACACAATGGCAGCATATTAACTGCTGGACATATGAACAACAGCAAAGACAAATGCTGCCTCTAATGTGACGAAAACCACATCCTGGCCTGAGTCAGACATATAGCGTTTAATACTGTGTCTCTGTTGGATCCTGGAGATGTTGGGGCTTAATTGATTTCAGATGTCTAAACCCATAATCAACAAGTTATCAAATGTTCTATCAAAGGATAATTTTAGCACTCTACCTGGTAGCCTAAATGGGCACTAGTCTTAACTGTTAAACCGCAAATTAATTCCTGCAGTTTAACCATTTATTTGTAAATACATAAAATACATCAAGGCCTGCATATGTAACCCCTGCTCCAAAAATTATTTAATTATTTATTCTCCTTATGAAAGTAACACCAGTGATTGTCCGACCAATGAGAATTTGGTTATACAAGATCATATCGACCAACTGACCAGGTTGGTGTCAGCCCTAAGGACATTAAATATGCCCCATATTGTACTTTAGCAAAAGCGGATCAGACATCGGACTGTAATGTTACACTAAGCAAGAAATTTCACCATAATTCATGAATTGTAGATTTTGCTCCACAGCAGTGTGGGTCCAAGCCATTTATGGATTCATTATGGCTCAGTGTTGAAAAAGCAACAATAATTCCACCTTTTAACATGCTGTTTCTTCAGTTAAAAAAATTATAGCCTTAAAATGTTTTGTGATCTTTTGAATGATACCCAGTTAACATGTGCCATTTAGTCAGTCTGTTAGCCATCTTAATCTCATCCCTGTATAATCCTTTTTTTACATGCCTAAATCTACATCATTAGAATTTCCTGATTAAGCCAAAACTCTAGCTTTAAGGTTATTTAAACATAACATTCAAAGGATTTATTTGGTTTGACATTAGAAGTCCTTGTTAAAAATGTGCCAGTGTCAGTGTATCAAATCTGCAGAAGATGGAACGCTCACTTTTATTTTAATATTAAAGATATTTTAATAACTAAATGGTTGAGGCACCATAATATTCAGAATCAGTACAATTGTAGTTCAAGAACTCAAACCCTATACTGAAGGTTATCTGGGATTTGTTCTGATACTACAGGTTTCACAAGCTAAATCATGAACTTAAATAATAAACTTACACAATGTTACTTGAAGTGGTCAGGATGTGTCACTGTTTGAGGCAAGACAATCAAAACCAGTACTTTAGTCTCACTAAATTGTGTCCACCTATATGCAGATGAAACAATTACCATCATTGCAATTTGAATTGAATTTGTAGAATTATGTTTGTAACGTCATGATCACAGATGTTAAATATCTCTGCTTTTAAAATGCAATTAAGTGAAAATGCATGTGTGGAAAACGAAATACTCATCGTGAATAATAAGTGACAAATGTTTGGGTGACTGTGTAGAAATGTTCTGGAGATTAATATGGATAATCAGACTTTGTTTGGTTAATTGATCTCTGCCTTTTAAAACAAGCCAAAATAGTAAATCACAATGTTGTATTAATATTATTACTTTGATATGTTACATACGTTGTTTTCCTTCCCTTCTTAGACTCTTCGGAGCTGGTCACCACAGCCACACATCTGTCACAGCCATCACAACTTTCAGCCAACATGGAGCTAGACTTTGGACATTTTGACGAGCGAGACAAGGCATCCCGCACCCCACGGGGTGGGCGCATGAATGGACTTCCCAGCCCTACCCACAGCGCCCACTGCAGCTTCTACCGCACACGCACTCTGCAGGCCCTCACCAATGAAAAGAAAGCCAAAAAGGTGCGCTTCTACCGCAACGGAGATCGCTACTTCAAGGGCATCGTGTATGCTGTGGCCAACGATCGATTTCGCACCTTTGACTCGCTGCTGGCTGACCTCACACGCTCACTCTCTGACCACATCAACTTGCCACAGGGTGTCCGCTTCATCTTCACTATTGATGGCTCACGCAAGATCTCAACCTTGGATGAGCTAGAGGAAGGTAAGCATATTTAGTAGGACTGTATATGATATTATGCTTCTCCTTTCTGAGATAAGGTATTATTTGGATAATTTTTTCTTTATTCCACAGTAGGGCTGCTGTTGTCAGATCAATTTGAGACACTATAGGCCACCATGTTAAAGGTGATCTGCAGTTTCAAGTCTGTTTCTGTGCTGAGAAGATTTAGAAGCATAACAGTTCTGAGATTAGGTTTTATCTTTTCAGTCTAGACTCCTGTAATCTCTTCATATGATGTATCGACTTCTAATCTGAATGGTTGCTTTGGACATGTGACATGGTCTACTCCCAACTCTTTGCACATTGTACATTTTGTTAGGCTATTAAGTTCTTTAAACTGTTTTAAAAAATGTTTCTTATTATGTGTGTCCTTAATGCAAAGCAGTATTTTCTCTCAAAGACAAAACAAATATGAGATTTTTTTCAAAAGTCATATTTCAGTGAAACCTTTGCCTAGATGCAGCAACATAAAGATCTTAAGTGCATGGGGTGTTTAATGAAGATACAGTAAGATTACAAAGTAATTTTTATTAAAATATTTTTTCAAGGTAATACTTGTCACTGTACAAAACTATGTTACCCTGGCAAATCCTCATTCATTTTCATCCAACAATCAAGAATAATTTCAAGACCCCACCAGACATCCTGGTCCGCTTGCTGACACAACATTACTTTATGAGATTCTTCTAAAGAAGTGGGACGAGGTTGACAGGGTGATCTTGGGGTAAAGCTTGAAGCTAAATTGCAGCTTAATTTGTTCAAAATGAGATGATCATCTGTTTCTTCAGTTGCTTATGGAAGATGGTAGTAGTGTATGTCTGTGTGGTGAGAGCAGTAAAGAAGGGGCAGCGTGGTGGGGGGCATTTCATTGTGCTTGTGGGATATAATTAATTGCTCAATCCTCTCTGCACTGTGTAATCCTGTTTTGTGCCTTTTGTCTTTGCCGTAATTTCTCCACATTTGGCCTAATTGTTGCCTTCTGGATACCCCTTTTGTCAAAATTGCTGCATTTTGTCTTTACTTTGACTCCTCTCCCTGCCTTAGCAAGAACAACACAATCTACTGTAGAGACTGTAGGATGATACTGACAGTGACATTGGAAGATTATTTAGAGAACTGGAAGAAGGATGGGATAGTCTGGGGAAAGTACATTTGCAATGAGGCTGTTGAATATTTTCACTTCTTGACTTTTATCTTTTAAACAAAGAATGCCTAGTCCTTATGTGACTGAAGTCCTCCTATAATGTCCAACAAGGAAGTCAGTCAGTCTACAACAGGCTATATCCGGAAGGATGGTTGTTATAATGTAAATCTAACCAAGCCTGGGATGCGTGTTTTTAAAATCAAAACACAGTGAATCTTTTAATAAGCGAAGATGTGTCTCTACTGTATAGCTATTACTGTCAGTGTGTGCTGTAAAGCAGGTATTGTTGACTGATCTGTGCGGTGATCTCATGGGAGAACTTTCACAGAACACCAGACAAGGCATGCAATTGCGAGCTACAATACAATAGTGTAATAAAAATTAACATGAAAATCTTACCTCCTTCCTCAAGATGATTTTGTAGATTACCGCCAATATTTTTTCAAATATTTTTACAGAAACGACACACATTTTCCCAATTAATCTAATTGGTATCTAACCAACCAGATACTGTAATTTTGGCTTTAGACATCCAATCCTGAAACTTCTGCCATTCTCTTAATACAATAGGGATGAATGGCATTTAGTTTGTGGTGATCCAAGGATCAAAAATAAAATTTGGAAAATGTCAATAGCAACATGTCTCTACAGAAACAATCTGGTTACTCAGAGCCTAGCTGTATACAGTTTCTATCCTCAAAACTTGCACAAACAAAACTGACGCCATCTGCAGTTTGTGCTATTTTGTCATTTTTAGTTATGGCATTAGATTAATGTTTAATGAAATCAAAGATGTGAAGACTGAGTTTCCCCCACTGGTCTTGATATCTCAATTTGAGTTACTGCAGGTTCAAATGTTTCTGAGTAGATGCCCCTGGGACTCTCAGGTGAATTGAATAGCTGAGTGTGGTACAACATAGTAACCCAATTTTTCTTTCACATCACAGGGGAAAGCTATGTTTGTGCATCAGAGAACTTCTACAAGAAGGTTGACTACACAAAGAATGTCAACCCCAACTGGTCCGTGAATGTAAAGGCCTCAGCGAGCCAGAAGAACATGCAGTCCTTAGCTGCCAAGGCAGCTGGCGAGTCCAGAGAGACCAAGGACTTTGTTCGACCCAAGCTTGTGACGGTGATGCGCAGCGGCGTGAAGCCACGCAAGGCTGTGCGTGTCCTGCTCAATAAGAAAACTGCACATTCCTTCGAGCAGGTTCTCACCGACATCACAGAGGCCATTAAACTTGAAAGTGGCGTGGTCAAGAGGATCTACACGCTTGACGGCAAGCAGGTATGTTTAGCCATTTCCTAGCTTACATCATGCTTTCCGGTAAAGACAATGGCATGTGCTGCTGCAAACCAAAGTTCATTGCTTCATGATATGCATATGAAAAACTCCCAATGTACCAAGCTGCCAATAGCTCTTTCTGTCTGCATTTGTTTAAAAGATAAGGCCCTCTGTTCAATAAATAACTGGAATAAAGGTGGCACAGTAGAGCATGTAAGCAAAGCTACACAATAGCTAAATACGTGGTCAGGATTGAGGACAGTTCATCATTCATACATCCACCCACACCCAGCCAGGTATCAGGATCAAAGGATAGCAGGAAACGAAATTATTTGCTTGAAATGCAAAAAATCACATTGCATGTTCGGTGGTTTCATTTAATGTCATTTACTTTCAAAATGGACACAGTAGGTAGAGGACAATGTTATTGTCCGCTCCCACCCGTATTCCATGAGAACCTCGAACTTCCATGAGAACAACCTGTGTACACAGTGACCATCATTGTCTGCCGTCTTTATTCTGACTTTCAGTCTGAGGCAACATATTTTCCTGTCTTGTGGTCAGGTCATTAGTGTCCTGTCCACCAGCCTTTTGTTGTGGAGTTAGTATTTAGACCATTAGTACTTTGAGTTGATCTGCCATTGAAAAGCTCAAAAGTCCTGGGAAGTTCTTTCTTCCACCTATCATGGTAGTGTACAAAGAGCCAAGCCCTGTATTGTTGTTTGATTATTTTGTCCCCATTTTTGTTCTATTTTGGATGGTGCATTCTGGTATATTAGTAAAACGGTAAGGATATGGATTTATAAAAATCTTGATGTTAACATATGTAAAGGTTTTTGTGTAACTAATGTCAGCCAGGATACTGAAGGTTGTAAACTTACTCTGGCAACTCATAATCCTCATAATTAACTAAGCTCAGAATCCTCAATGTTACGTCTCTTGTGTGCACGAATATTTGTGGAAAATGAAAAATCCCATGCAGAGAGGATTCAAGTTGGATATGGCTGGTAGAATATATAGCTCTTTTAATTTGTTTTAGTTGGGTTCGGAGTAAAACATTTTGTGGAAGAGAATGATCAGCTTCCTGTCATCAGAGAGGCCTAAAGACAGTCCATCTATTAAAGACGCTGGCATATCTGTATCCAGACTTTTCTTGTGTCACGTGATAGAAGCCCCAGAATGCAGGGCAGAGTGTCTTTAGTAACCTTGACTATTCTCTGGTTTCAGTTAAGGGGCCCTTCGGTGTTGTAGCCAAACTGAATTCAGGGCACTGGAATCCCCACGAGAAGACCATGCAGAAAAAACACTAGTTTCCACTGGCTGGCTGTGGGCAGTAAAAACTTGCATTGACATCAGACCTGTATTTTTATATACAAAAATTATGAGATTAAAGGTAATGCAGCGTCAAACAAACATTATTTATTTCAATATTGAAACACGCATCCTAATATGCATTTGGTTTATGGCTAGTCTACTCCACTTAGCTAGTTAGTAGTGCTCCCTAACTTTCTTACCTGCTAAATTCAATCATCAGAATACATTTTTATTTCAGAGATTTCTAGATAATCTCATAACTTTCTATTTGACTCTCTGCCTTCTGCCCAGTTAAATTAGGTTACCATTTCCCCACATAGATGGCAAATGGCGCCAATCAAGCTGTAGCCACAGGGCTTGCATAAAGGCAAGAAAAGCTTTCACAATTAGATTGAACATTGTGAAAGAAGTCATTAGAAAATTGTCTTGGCAACAGTCCCATAAGTTGTACATCAATTTCATACTACTTTTGTATAGGCTAATAAAAGTTTACCATGAAGATTGACAGAATACATACTGAATAGAACTAATATGTAGAGTGGATTTGGGACACAACTGTAATTTCTACTTAAAAAGCACAAGAATGGCGAAAGCTTATCAACTGATCCATATGTGGCACACAACATGCTTTAAATTTGCCTAAAAGTCACTCCCTGGGGAAGGCTATTGTTTTCTCAACACACTGGCAAAGCTAAAAGGACATCATGATTTATTCATGTTCATGCTTTACTGGGGCAGTGTTGAGGGACAGCCACAGCCACCATGCAGGGTCACCCACCTGGAAGCCTGTGGAAAGGTCTGTGAGATGGATGGTCTACTATATGCTTTATATAAAGATGTGAGGTACTTTATAAAGTAATAAATAAAATGTGAGTTACTGCAGTAACAAAAAAGACTGGATTAGGTCATGTATATATTTCTGTGCTGTAGTAGAATGACCTTTTTTTATTACAAAAGCATTCAACAACCATGATGAAATGTATCTTGCAGATAAAGACAGGTACTGATCTATTGATCCTTTCAAAACTCACACCCTCAAATATATATTTGACTTTACAGATCAAATCCCGGTGCTTTCCAGCCTGTTGTGAATCGCAGGTAATTAACAAAGGCGGGAATGTGGAGCGAGCGTAAAAGCATGTGTGGATATGAACATGGACATCTGTTCCTCAGTCCTCTCTTTGATATGGTTAAATGTTTGCTAATTCTCCTGTGGGGACCTTTTCCCTGTATTATTCATTACAGATGGACTGGGGATCGTGTCCTGCTGTGCTCCTTTAGGTGTTGTACTTCTTCAGGTTTTTACTCTGTATTAATAAAGCCTGAATCACATGTAGCTTGGAGGAGGGGAGGTGCACTGAAATGATAGATGGGGGAATTTGATTTTAATGCTCTCTCCCCAGGGGTGCAGTCTGGCTGCCCAAGGTCTTATACGGGTTTTCCTACAGAAACACTTGCTAAGATGTTTGGATATAGTAATCAAATGATCGTGTTTTTTATCTTTTGTGGTTGGCCTGTGGTTAGGCTTGGTTCCTCTTCTTATTGCTAAGGATGATTTTGCCATGCATGTTTAATGATGATGTGTTTCCACAAAATTAATTTAATAGCCACCATATGGGAGCTATCCCAATCTGAGCATATTGATTCTGTTGTCATTGCTGTAGATATAGATTAATTATTCCATGATTAGTGTCCGTTGACTTGTGCCAGGGACTCCCAGTTTCATTGCGTTGCAAAGAAATGTGAGAAATGCTGCACACATTATTGCAGTGTCTTTGTGTGGAGAGGCACACTGCAGCTGCTCTGTGGTGGAGGTGATATGGTAGAAGCAATATTGATGCAGTGCCCGCCCCTCCCTGACTCTGCGCCGATCCTCCTCTTCCCATTCCATTGCGATAGCTGCTGGGACCGGTTGCTAGGAGACCACATCCCAGGCACAAAGAGAGCCCAGCTGGTGTGGACTGGTCTGTCAGATACCACATCCTGTAGTGGGTGTGAGAGTTTACTATCAATGCAAGCCTTTGGTTTAAAAATGTGTTTGTTTTTTTTAATTTAAATTTTTTTAACCTGTGTATACATAATTGGGTGAGAGTTGGAAACATGATGGGCTTATAGTGTGTGCATGTATATTTTTATGGATCAGTTTAGGATAAAAGGTGATTTGGGGTGTGGTTTTTTTTATTTTTATAGCATTTTTGACTACTTTTCACACTCGATGTTCCTCTTTACTCTGGTGCTATGTAGACAGCCTTCCCTCCTCTCTTTGTCAGTGTTGTGAACAAAATCACTCCCATTTTTCCCCTCAAATGCTGGTGCTATTCACTTCAGTCGGGAAGGGTGGGGCCAGTGGATTCAGGAGTAATTTTCCATTCCAAGAGCAAATTAGGATAATTTTATTTTTTTGCTGATGGGTAATAATTATTCCCCTAAAAAGAAAAAAAAAAGCATATTGCTTGATTTGCTCTCACTGCTTCTAAAGGCTACATTAAATCAGAGATAGTTTATTTAATTGCTGGCAGCCATTTTGTATTCATTCCTTTTTGATAGAGGTGTCTGCAAAGGAGAATAGTTCTGACTTGCCAAATCCATGTTGAAGTTGCATTGTGTTGCTGTGCAATTTTACAGTCTGCAGCATTGCAGAGGGCTCTTCAGCGGATTTGAGTGCCCATTATTCTGACCCAGTTTAGAGTTAAGGTTGTAATTGAAGTTTTTAAAAAAAAATTGATTTGTCAACAAAGAGCCACAGAAGAAAAGAAATGGATGCTTAAGGCACAAGGTCACACTGTTATTGTCAGAGAACAAAAGATTCCAATTTGCTTTAAAAGTTAATAACTCCTGCTAAGCAGTTGTTCATTGAATAGAATATGGATACAAGCATGGGGCATCAGGACTTCTTAACGACTAAAATACATCCAGTAATAGGGAAGAAAAGCCTGCTTTTCTGTGGTTATCAGTGCTCTTGCAGTCTGCCTGCTCTTTGCCATGCTGCAGAAGCAGTTGTCATGGCAATAAGCTCCGCTGTGATGGATTCAGTTTGTGACAATGGTTGTAATACGCTGAGTGTGCTCTTTACATTGGGTCTTACCTTCTTGCTCTCTGTTCCTCACCCATCAGCACAGCTCACTGCAGCCACCCCCCCCCTCCCAACACACACACACACACACACACACACACACACACACACACACACACACACTGTTATACCAGGACAGACAGTCGGACACAGAGGGGCGCGGTCCCCAAGATGAAGCAGCTCAAGCAAGCGTGGGAGTCTACATGCGTCCTCTGTGCTCCTCACAGCTCGTGCAGGAACGGGGGCACGAGGACCACATCAACAAGTGAGCATGACCTGGGGGGAAAGATGAGGAAGCGCAATTTAATAATGCTAAGGCCACATCAGTCAGCCAAATGGAAAGCCTACTTCCTCTGGGTTAGGGAGGGGTAGGGTTAAAACAACATCAGGCCCCAGCTGCTCCCCATGACTGTGCAGATATTGTTGCCTATCTGGCTCATCTGCGCTCCAAATGCATCCGGAGCACCTACAGTAGCACACAGACACTGTGCCAGTCCACCAAGGTCACAGACGGGTCAGAAAAACAACTCACAATAATAATCATCATCATCATTGACTGGGACAAATCACTGCATAGAGATTTGCAGATCTTTCTTTATACTTTGATCGACTGGATTTGATTTATGTCCTATATTATGTTCATCAGCTGAGCTGATGCTGCAAAAGCAGACAACCTGAGATGATTTTTAAGCTATTGTCTGTGAAACACTCCAGTTGATATGGACAAAATGGAGACCCAGTGTATACTTTGGAGGAATATTCCACTCAATGCAGAGGCACTAATATTGATCAGGTCTCTGTGTCTACAGTGAAGGAAATGGTGTGGGAGTTTTCTCATGGGTTGCAAAGCAAGGTCTTTACTGGCTGTTTTTCAGCCTGATCTTTTTTTTATACTTCACCTCTCTCACATAGCTCAGTAATCCTAAGACTGCAAATAAAACATTTAATGAAAATTAATTTTCTCACTGATATTTGTTTTTCCCTTTATGTTTAGATAAATACTCTACCTTTTTAAACTCATGTCATCCCCAGAGTCATATCCTCTAACACAAAGCGAGCACAGCAAAATAGAAAATACTGCAGTGTACACCCTTGCAAAGCCACTGTCTTAATTTTATGACTTTTTCCAGCTGATTTGTACGGAGGCAGAAGGAAACCTTCATAAACAGATCTAAGAATGCTCCTCTATGCTGTCTTTACTGAGCATTTGTCTGAGTCGTTAATGCCAGTAGGACGTCCTTGCAGTTCATCAGAAGTACTGATTAGATGAGCAACACAGGTCGCGACAGAGAATCAAAACGGTATAATGCAACATTAAATAGCTTTACATGTGCTCAGAGATCAATTAACATGGCTGTGTGGAGTATGAGAATGAGACAGCTACTGGAACTGGAGAATCATCAGTCGTTCACTCCTTATTGCTCTAACTATTGTGCTGAAAGGATGAGCTGAAGACAAGCAGCTGCTTGTAGAAGACAAAAGATGCATGTGCTCCGTTTGGAGATGTTTCCTGTTGCCTCACACAAAAGCTTTGGCAAGGAACTGCTGTGCGACCATTATTCACCTGAATTATTTTTGTTTTAATAGGTTGGCATTGGTTGTTTTAAACAATTTGAGATGCACCTGAATTACACTATGATTGCTTTCACAAGAATATATATTAGACCGAACACTTTAAGGCACTGTTTAGCCCGGATTATTTTTCAAACTGTGGTTGTGGTACTACAAATGCTGTCCCGATAAGACTTTTCAGATTCATAGTGAAATATTACCTTACTGCAAGCAGAGTAGGGGGATATTGGTTATTTGTTTTGCTGTTATTTACAACATGCATGAATGTTTTTTGATACTGGAGAAAATTTGTATCGTATGGTGCATTTATTATATTGTGATGCTGTATGTTGTGGTGTCTCAAATAGCTTGCTACCTTGTGTTTGGATGAATGAATCATATATAAAAGGTGAAACATCACATCAGAGGTATTTCCTAGATGTGTTCTAGAACAAAATACTGAAATGCAAAAACTTCTCATTAAGCATGACTGAGAGAAACTATAGAAACTGCACTAACTTGTGGCCCAATCTCTTCTCAACAGGAAGTTCAGAATTATAGAGCCCTTAATTTCTTTATTTGCCTCTTGACCACCATAACTTAATGAAATGTCTGCGGCCTGTGGACCATTGGCCAGTCAGGCTAAAGGAACTCTGAATAATTCAGTTGCTGTAGTTTGTGGATCCCTGCATAGCTTCTGGTGGTGTTGGTGGTTTTCGGGGGGTCATGTGGTCCTGACAGCTGGTGAGGCAGAGATTAGGGATGGGCTTGATGGGACAGAGGGTGGTGGGCACCTGGAGTCTGGAAGGAGCCAGTTCTTCAGAAAACCCCACCTGACTTCTTCCAGTAAAAACAAATGGATATATACACACGGACTCTGATGTCATACTATCCAGTATGACAGGCCTTTTAGATTGTCTTTAGGTTGAATGACGACATGTCCTTGCAGTTGTTTCTCCTCCTCTCTTTTGCCAGGTGGGTTGCATTGATGCAGTTGGCTGACCTTTTCAAATTGCAAGAGGATGCTGCTTCTTTACCCACATCCAAATGTCCCCAAGCTGGCCTGCCCTTCCCTCACTGCAGCAATGTTTCAAAGGGACTCTGACATTTTAAATTTGATTTGATCCCATGCAAAGCAGAGCGGTTTTCCACAACATTCCTATCAACTGTAGACGGATGTTAGGCCAAAATTCACCAAGTTTTACAGTAACTATTAACGCATGATGCGGGGGGGGGCAAATGACTTAATCAAAAGGTAGTGCACATGCTGGCCAGGTTTTAGTGATTGATTTGTCTGCGGGACATTTGATGCACACTGTACATGAATTATTTGTGGGCTTAATGATGCAAAGAGACCTGGTCAAAGATCTACACTGTAACGGCACAGATAATGTTGATCTTAGTGATCCCTGTAGGGAATAGGATTAGTAGAATTGCTTAGAAGGATTCAATGGTTTTTGTTTTGTTGTTTATTTTCACCCTGCTTTTAGATTTTTTTTTTTTTTTTTCTGATTCATTGCAGTTGAAAGTATAAGTGTCATTTTTGGATTCATCTACCAACAATATTGGTTCCTTTGCAAAAATCAAAATTTTTAAGTTGAAATGGCACATAACATCTTTTGGTATTTATATAGAATCTCCTCTTAGATTGGTGAGTGGACCGACTTCATTTTGAATGGAGATTCTGTAAAGAGAGATTAAGTTTGGAGTCTGTTGGATAAACACTTTATCCTTTTATAATCAGCTCTGTTCTTAAAGCTATTAAAACATGGACTAGCCTCTACCCTCCTGCCCCATTCCAACCCATTTCCATCTCTTCTCCACCCACTGGCCTTAGGGGGGAAAAAGAGCACCTCTTATGCTTAACTGTCAGGTGCCCTTGTTGCACACAAGAGTTTAATCTAATGAAAGTAACATTTATCTAATCTCTTGATAATGAACACAAGAAAACCCAGATTTGCAGACTGTAAATTAGCACTGGCTGAAAAGCCAATTAGATTTTGATCCCCGGAGTCAAAGTGCCATCTCGTACCTCACCAGGGATCTGCTTGGCCTGTATCCTGGGAATCTTGTGGGACACAGAGATGGTACAGCTGTTGGATGCCTCGCCAGCGAGTCGTCACCACCACACACTTTTTTAGCTTGTCTAGCAGGATAGAGAATCAACATGGCAGCTGCCTGGGTGGGGTGTTCCCAAATTATCTGCAGCTCATAGTTTGGATGTGTATCACAAAGGAAACCATGATGCATCTTGGCAAATGTCCCAATACAGGGTAATCTTTCAGGCCATGGACCTCAACGAGCCCAGCAGAGAGTCTTGTGTCAGTGACTCTTGTGTTTTCAGACAGTTGGCACCAAAATTTGCCCAGTGAATAAAGCCAGAATGAGTTTTCTGTAGTTCACTTGTATGTCTTAATCCAATAATTCAAGTGAAAAAGAACAAATTTCAACTGGTGTCGAAAGGCAAACAAAAGGAAAATGAGGTTGAGATGCTTTGTAGCAAATCTCACATGCGTCGGGGGAGGAACAAAAACAACCAAAGGGAAACACAGCTTTTAGCTTGAATGGCTTTAATAGGCGTGCCTGAGCTGGTAAGGGGGCCTGTATAATGGAGAGCAGAGGAGAAGGTGTGGCCCAAAGACATCTGTCCACTAAGGCCATATTGTGTCAACAGCTGCTCTAGAGTAAAAAGACCCAGGGGAAGGAAGTTGAATCATTTAAACATTATAGCAAAGGTGTAACATTATACTCTGTTTGGGCTGTTTTGTGCTGTGCATGTGTGTGTTTTGATATTGCACCTACTGTAGCTAAAGGCATGTTAACATGACAAGTAAAACACAAAGGTGGCCTTCTACACTCTGAGGCTGTCTAAATCCTTTAGCTGACAGACAAGGAAGACCTTACTTTTACTGTCACTAGGCTGTGTCTGTGTGTGTGTGTGTGTGTGTGTGTCTATCAATCATATTTGTGGTTTTTAGTGAAATATCTCAAACTATGAACTGTCATTAAATTTGATCCAAACATTCATGTTCCCCTTAGGATAGGTTAAGTTATAACTTTGGTAATATAATGTCATGATCAGGCCAAAATTATATAATATAGCCTCAGCTATACTTGATTTTATTGCTAATTTACAATTGTTGGCATGCTAAGATGGTGAATATGGTAAACATTATACATGCTTATTAGCATAATCATAGTGAGCATGTTGGCATGATGTTGTTAGCATGTAGCTCAAAGCCTCAGAGCCACTAGTGTGTGCGTCTTAGTCTTGTCATGATACCAGCTGATTCCAGATTAAGGGTCTCAAGTTTTCTGGCTTCTTGCTTCACAGGTTACCTGCCTTCAAGATTTCTTTGGTGATGACGATGTCTTCATTGCATGTGGACCTGAGAAATTCCGCTACGCCCAGGATGACTTCTCTCTGGATGATAACGGTGAGCGTAAGTCTGGATAGGCCAGTAGCTGTATATTTGCTGTACATGCAGCATTTTATTTTATCAGCCATGACGCTGAACAGTTCATCAGCTTTGTGCAACTTTATTGTAAAACCATGGTAAACTCATTATGCAGCATTATTGACCTAAATACAGTAAAACATAGTAGCTGTGAAAAGATTAATGAAACGACAACAACACCCACAAATATGTCCATATACATTAAAACACACTTTGTACAGCTTTTGCACTGTTTATGTCTGCATTTAATTTAAACAAGTCTGTTACATTGTATATACAATAGCAGTTACTGGAAGGCATCCAGTGGAATTTATATTTTGCACTTTGAATTTGAGGTATCTCACTAGTGCTTTTATTGAGTCACTGAAAGTGCAAATCGTACAGCAAGTGAAATGTATACATTGTTATGGTTGTGTCATGAGATTTAAATTGGTGCTGTTGCAGAGGGTTAGGTTTCCTGTATTGCTGTGAAATCCCATCTGTTTTGTAAACATATTGTGAGATGAACCTGATAAGATACAGAAGGACACTTGCGCAATTAACATTCAGTTTGAACATAATGTTCCTGGTATACGTGTGTGTGAGTGAGAGGGAAAGATCCATGTAGAGTGAGAGCTAAGTAGTTCACTGGGTGTCATTTGATATACCAGTGTCCATTAGGGACTCTTTAGACTTCTCATAATGGATTTGTTCTGTAAAAGATGTTAACATACAAAGCTCTGTGCTTGTTTATATTGAGGAGAAAATTATGTATGTGAGAGGGAGGCATGGAAAGAGATGGAGTCAAGAGGGAAGTCTGTTATCGGCAGCCAGCAGCAGGGGTAGGAAAAGGTAGAGAAGAAGAGGAGCCATTAATCTGTCCGGTGACAGGTTTAGGCCAGCTGATCTGTTGGTGCTGATACTGCTGAGAAGTCGAGGAGAGAAAATGTAAAACCAGTCCTCTCACAGAGTCTCTCTGCTCCCCACAGACCGAAAAACCCTATTTTTAACAACCCACTTCCACCTGATGTCCCCTCCTCGAAACATTCAGTATCTTTTCTCTCTAAAAGTCTCTTAATCTTAACTCTGCAATCAACGAAGGGCTGATCTGTCATTATGTTCCCGTCATCCCTTCTCCTCCCCTCAGTTCCTTCTCAAATCTTGGTAGGATGGAGATGCCATTTAATTTCTAATGATCTGGGTCCTTTCCTTTCCTCACCCCCCCCCCCCCCCCCCCAATGGAACTAACGCTAAATAGTTTAATTCAGTCTATAAAAACCTGAGGGTAATACAAAGTAAAATGGTTGAGTCTCGAGCATCCAGACATCACTGAGTGAGCCTCAGAAGAGAGGAGAGCCCTGTCTAACACACATCACATGGACATTACAATACAACCTAACACAGATCACTCTGGATGATTTATAATCAAATCATTTTTTTTTGGAAGGCAGTTATCCTTCCAAAGATGACAAATAATAATCGCCTTTGATTCTATATATGCAAACATCAGACACGCATGCAAAGAAATGTTCCCTCTATACTTTTGTCTGGGATGGAGATGGACTGAATCTATGCTTCTCTTTTCAACTACTCATGCAGTTATTGCTTTTTATGCTTGGTTTGGCAGGATAAAAATAGATTTAAATCCCTTGTGGTTATTTTTAACACATGTTTAAAGAAGGTCTATGCAGATGGACATGCAGACAGAGGGGATCGCACGCGTACCTGCAGCTCTTGTTTATGCAGCGAGGGAATCTGTGTAGATGGACTAAAGGCTATTTTGAGACCACTGAGTAGACCAGACAAGCTGCCAGTCTGAAGCATTGTCAAAGGCACGGTGGCACACCTTGCAAACAATAGCACGTGAGTGTAAGTCTGTATCTAGCAGTGTGTGAAGGTTAAGCGAGAGAAGACAGACATGGTGCGATCCCGGGAGACGGAGGGAGGACAGATAGTATAATTAGCATCAAAAGTAGAAGAGAGGAGGGAGGGGGAGGAAAGAGAGAGCCTGACAGTACAGAGTGGAAGATGCAGAGGGAGGAGTAGCAATGTCTGGAGTCTGTCTACCCTGATTAATACAGTGACCCAGAATATACTGCATACATTTCTATATGATTTCCATAACCACACTGCTATGCATTTACATGAATTCGCAAGCAACGGATACCACGCTTGAAAAACAGCCAGTAAATCCAGGTGTAAAAACATGGCAATCGAACTAACACCAAAAAATATCCCAAAGCGCATCAAAATAATCCATTTGTGTTGACAGATCTGTGCACAATGTGGCCTTCACTGTCCATTAGAAAAGGTTTTGTGCTTCTGGTGTGAAATTCTTGATAGTACAGGTGGAGTTGTTTCGTCCAGCGTATTTCTGTCTTCCTTATCATACTTGTGCTGTGGGCCTGCAAGAAACTGGGTGTTCCATGCATTGTGTGTTGTTAGAATCCATAATACTTGGACAAAAGGGAAACAACATTGTCATCAGGAAGTTATAGCCATTTAGCATTTGATTTGCAAATTTAGGTAAATAGACTGACACACAACGCAATTTGGAAAAATGAGGCAAGCAACAAAGGTAAAGGGCTGTGTGTAGAGTCAAATTAATATAATAATGATATATATATATAAGAAAATTATAATTTACTTCCTGTCAATTCACAGCAGCTGCCTTGCTGACTAATGTGTGTGTCTGTGTGTGTGTGTGGGGCAATTGTAAGTCACTTTGGATAAAAGCGTCAGCTAAATGAATAAATGTGTATGTGTTCTTGTGCACCAAGGCTGTGATCAGGCCAGAGCATTGAATGCTTCACCATTTCTTCTACATTTTATTTCCATCAATCAAAATTTCACCATGCAGCCACTCATTATCTAGCCATGTGGTGTCTGGGCAGAGCTTGGGCTATTTTTGTTGTATTATTTTTAAATTCATTTCAGACTTTCTGATTAACTTTAAACTAATTTTGGACAGAACTGCCCCATTCAGTTTCGGGGGAAAAAGTAATTATTTCTCTCTCCTCTTTCCACAGAATGCAGGGTGATGAAGGGACCCAATAAAGCTCCTCAGCGTGGTTCTGCAAAGAGTCCTGGTCCAATCAGGCGCAGCAAGTCTCCTGCTGAATCAAGTGAGCCCATTATCTCCCCTACACTGTAGCACATCCCTGTTTTAAAGTACAGCAGAAACTGACCTCGCCTTGTTCTAGAAATGAAAACAAGAGAGCTGGTGGAAAATTATGATGGGTGTTTTCTGTTAACATGCAATATGACAGCAGAGGGACAAAGTGATCCGCTTCTGGGGTTGTGTTGCAAGACACAAAACCCCAATCAGATCTAGCGGTGCTGACCTTGACCTTTGACCTTAATCCGAAGGGATTAAGGTCAAAGGGATCAATAGTGTGTGATGGAAGATTGTTAGAAATACATCTATACATGCTTGCATCCAATATGCACATTTCAGAATTATTTCCAAGTAGGTTTACACACGGAAATTGCTTTGGTATGTTGGTGCATAACAATAAACATAGTAAGTGGAAAATATAAAGAAAGATGAAACATGTATTTTAAGTCAAAAAGCATGCAAAGAAAATTGACAATAAGATTTGATTTTTTTAATTTAAAAATATGTATGCATGTTTACCAGGGAATGTGCAAAAGTTCACAGTATGAAGTTTAAAGAGGTACTTATAAGATAATACATTTTTGTAATTTATTTTATAATTTGCGTTTTTGGTGTCTGGAATTTGACAAAAGGCAGATAAGGAGTTAAAATCCTGGTTGCTCTCTGTGTTGCCTGGTTGTGCTTTGAGAGCTGGACTGTTTGTACTGGGGGGTCCAGCATCAGCTCCTTAATCTCACTGGAACACCTCCATAAAATCCCTCTAATACTTGAGATTGGGGACAGTAAAAACCCAGCCTTTGTTTGTTTTACTGAATCTGATGAGATTTAGTTTAGTGTGTTGCCAATGCAGATTCTTCTTTTTTAAAGCCATGAATAAAACATGAAAAGTAAACAAAGACGGTATAAACAGCTTTCAGCTGTTTGTTTGACAATCAGGAATTTTAACATTTAATAATATCCAGGAGGCAATAGAACATAATAGCTTGAATCTTTCATGTTAACAAAAGCTTTTAACACTTGGAAACAGTCCTCTAACTCTTTGTTTCACTGCTTTCTGAGTTTGTATAGCTGCACCATTAGTCGGCTGAACAGTTGGTGCCATTTAATCTGATTGGCTGCAGGCTTGAGGAAAAACAAGCTGTTTTCTTTTGACAGCTTTCGTGTAAACTACAAACACTGAAGAAAAACAAATCACTCCTAAAAATATGGAATCAGTCATAACCTATTCAAATTATTTAAGTGTTAGAATTTAATTCTACTGATTATAGCTTTATACTGTGATGGCATACCCACATAGAAGTTTTGCTATGTCTTCTTAAAGCCTGTTGAAAGATGAGCAAGTGGCCGCGTGTCTCCAACAGTGGAAAGTCAGAGTGGATGAGTTGTTCAATCCCCTGCAGGAAAAATGAGTTGGCCGTGTCAGGCAGTGTAGTCCGCACTTCATGTTTCACACCATTTACACGATAGGTGGTGGGGGCGTTGGGATCTCCAGCCCTGCGGGTTCCCTCAGTCCTTCAGCAGTCTTGAATATTTTATTGATCACTGATTGGGGGTGGGTGTCTGGCCTTAAAGACAGCAGATTGCAGGTTGGGGGACATGTTGGGGAGGCAGTAAACTCATGAGCATTAACCACCTCTGTAATACCTGAGAGGTCAGCAGGGTGGTAATGGGGGTCATAGCAGAGGGAACGTATGTGACTTGCCTATGTTAACTGGGATTACTACTTGTAATAATGGTGATGAGTGTTTTCAATTATTCTGTTTACCAGAATCTTCTCTACCAGAAGAATAGGATTTCTCCTCATTTTCTTTTTTTGGGTCTGCAAGGATGAAAGGTTACATTTTAGTATGTGCATATTATTCTTCTCATGCTCCTATTGCTGTGAGGCTAAAATAAATCTTTTTTAGATCTTATATATTTTTCAGTGACTTAACATAAGCCATAAAAATAAAAGAACCGTATAAAGACAAGTGTATTCATCCATTTAGTGCATTGTTCAGTTACACATTTCCTGGCATGTAGGATACCCTATACAGGAAAAGGAAAAAATGAATGGAAGCACCATTTTATATCTGAGAGATCTGGTCTGATTCAGGGATTAATCTGTGTATCTTGTATTTTTGAAATTGTACGTAGCTAAAGCACTTTACTGTGAAATTATAATTGAACAGGAAAAATGATAAACGTTGCCATCTGTCTGAAGGCTTCTCGTGCCTCTGATTGGTTGACAGCTGGTATGGAGCCTCTTATTGGCCAACAGCTCAACAATAAGTGTGCATGTGCTTCTCCATCAGGTTGTAATAAGTCTAAAAAATGTCTAATTTACAGAGCAGTTAGCCTGCTTACCAGCACTCTCTTCAGCCTGGGGCATCTAAAAAAGAACTTGTATTAGGGTGCATTGGGTTTGAGGAGTTGAATGCACTGAAAGTGTGTTTGGCATGGTCCTGGGACCGAAGCCCACAAAGAAACAGTGATCTTCAGTTTAACATAACCACACTGGAATTCGTTTTCTACAGAGGATGACTACATCTCTCAAATGTAGAAATCCAGAGACAAAACCTGAACTGTGGGGGCAACCTTGCTGTTTATAGACAAAAGGTAACTCTGCCTCTGCTACAGCTGAATGTTTGGTCTCTAAATAAAACAGCTGCACTCTCTATTCAGTATGTGTGGGAGAGCTGCTCATGTTTAGATATACTGATTTTAAGATTCCAAGATAACAGGACGTGTGTTTTCAGGATTGTCCATTTTGAAAGTGTTTAAATTCTTTTTATCTGGAGAGGTTAAATGATGCCAGTGGCATTAAGTTGGTTAACAGTGAAGCTTTATCTGCGGTGTATTTTCACCACTCACTGGCTCAAATTTACACTGGCCATCTGGCTCATAGTCTTCAGAATTCTTTTCATCTCTTTATAGACAAAAAACTCTTTTAAACCACTTAACCAACACAACTACATCACATCACACCGCTCTTAGACATAAACACAATGTTCCACACAGAGAGAATCCTAGCAACGTGGCTGGACGCAGAGCGAGTGAATAAAATGCCATCTAACAAACTGAGAGCTTGTCAGCCACCTAAACCTGGACCAACGGTGTCCCTCTGCGCTGTAGCCAAATGAGGCCACAGTTCAGGAATGACTTTTCTCCAGAGCCAAGGAAAGAGGTTCAGGTCTCTATTGCACACTTTCTAATCCACACTACTATTGGACTCTTTTTGTTTTTTTTGTTTTTTTTTCTCTCTCTCTCTTTTTTTTTTTTTCTCCCCTCCTCCTCCCTTATCCCTCCCTCTTTCCCTCTCCTCGCCGCTGATGTCTGGGCTCTCGCAGCCAACGGGACGGGCTCCAGCAGCCAGCTCTCCACCCCCGATTTCCAAGCATTCCCCCACCTCCAGCCCCAACAGTCCAGGCCTCAATAACAAGCAGAAGGTACCCGGAACTCCTCCCTCTCCTGACCTGTCATTTTTCACTTTTGTCTCACAACCCATCATTTTTTGCTCCCAACTGTGAATTTACGCATGTGATTTTGCTCCTGTGTTTGCAGGATCTCTACCTACCCTTATCTCTGGATGATGACGATTCTCTCGGCGAATCGATGTAGACTCTCCTGCAACCTGCCTCCTTTTTGGCCTGAAACAGAGAAGTTTTTATACCTCTGCTGCTTTCCACCTTCACTCACAGTGCCACCTGTTGTCGAGGAGAACCGCTCTTTGTCTCTTTTTAAGGCCTTAGCCACCAGGGCTATGACACCATTTGCTGCTTGAGAATTACAAAAACCTTTTTCAGTTTCGACCACATTATAACGATCAACTCACTAATGTTAACATGTATGTTTCTGTGTTGAGGTTAGGCACTGTTCCTCAAAAGGGCACACAGTTCACTGACCAGCAGATCTCACGGTGTTAAAATTTCACTTTGGTCTCACACATTTTGTTAAAGGATGCACTCTGACTTCAATATTTCAGTCACAGAATTCCAAGCAGCAAATGGACATTTTTAGGGGAGTTAGTCAGAGCTGACTCAACTTTTGTATCACTTGTATTCGTGACGTTCCTCCATGTCCTCCTGTCTTTCTGCCCTACGGTTAAAGGTATGAAAGGTAATGGTTCCTTGTCAGAGGAAATCTGCAAAGCCAGATAAAGTCCTTCTAACCCGCTGTAAATACTGTGTATAGCTACCCATCATAACATCTCTGCTCAGTGTCCATTGCTGTGCTTCCATAACTTCACTACAATGTCCGTCTAACATTTGCTCAACATGATACAGGGTATGGTCAAAGTAAAAGAAGAACCAAAATGAAGTCCCACCACAGAGGGTGAGGATGTGTGGGATGCAGGTCCTGACTGAAGAGGATTATTGGTCCGAAGCCAACGCCTCCTTAATGAGAATCCATTTTTCCAACTGACTATAAATGTACGAGAGATTTTAAAACAGTCTTTAAAATGACACATTCAAACCACTATAACCATGGAGGCCTCAAAATCCTTATGTTGGCTGTAATTGGCATCCATCTTGTCTAATCAGGCACAAGGAAATGACCATGTAAGAAAAAGCATCCCGCACAGCCCTCAGTGAAGTCTTTATATGGGTGTTTCATTTATTTTGACCCTCTACATAGACCGTAGGCTATACATGGTATATACCCTCTGTGTTTTAGATTTTCACAAACTGCAGTGCATGATATTGATGAATGATTATGAAACTTTGGGGGGAAAAAAGTTGATTTGAAGGACCTAAAGGTACATAAAAACAACCAAAGGATTAGGCCCTTTTTTCCCATAAAAGCCAAAACATTCACTATACAGTTTTCATTGACCAGGTCTAAATAATTCCCTTTTAAGCCGGTTTATCACTTAACACAACTAGTGGTGACGTTTTATCGTAAAATGTGTGAAATTCAAAGAAAGATAGATAAATAAATAAATAAATAAATAAAGGTCTCAAAGCCAAAGTATGATTTTTAGACCAAGAATTATAGAAAGGGGAAAATATGTAATGTTTATCAGTTGTAAAATTCTTTTAATATTCTGGAGGAAGCACACCTGGAGATTTATGCATGTTACTTTTAATGCATCAAAATAATGTCAAGATGAAATCAAGCTCATCTGAAGCAATTAGTTTTATCGGGGCACTAAACAGTAGTGGGCTTTCTCGTATTTTGCATGGCTCATCATAGTTCTCAGAATACAGGGGAGATTAATAACGCAACGGTTGTCTAAATCTATGTGTGGGTTTTAAATTTTTATAAAGTGTATTAATTTATATCAAGGGTACTTGTCTAGGATATTTGTTTGTTTGTTTTTTTTCAAATTTTAACTTGCTCACATGAGCTCTAAACACTAGTACTTTTTTCAAGCCTCTGTGTGCAACTTTCTATGGCCATATTTAGTTTTTCTATTGTCACGATTTGCATCGTATGTCTTACTAATCTACTGAAAAGGGTTTTCTCAGATTTCTGCAGGGAATCAAGCCTGAGAATCGCTGAATTGGACAACACTGAAGCACAAAGCAGGGAGCTACTTATTTATCACAGCAACAGACACATTACTGTCTACTTGCCAGCATTACGATGCGTGACCACAATTCATTTCTCTATTGGAAAAAAAATAAAAAAATGCTGCACATATATAGTAGCATCCTTTTAGATTAATATCTATGCATTCGGATTCAAGAATAGTTAAACATCTGTGTTTTTTTTTTTTTGTGTTTTTTGTGTGTGTGTAGGAATTGCCTTTTTATACCCAATAGCGTAAAAATAAATGAACTAAAACTGAATTTTCCATGCAGTTCTTTGTCATGATGTGATCGTCTGAAAATTGTATGTCTTAGGAGTGATCCGGTGTCCACCCTCTGGATAAGCTTTGAATAGCTGTTTTCATCAGCCACTTAATGCTCAAGACAAACAATCACAACCCTATCTGGTGCTTTCTCCTGCAGGGAGTGCTGTCACACCAGCACAAAAGCTAATAATATCAGCTAATCCAACAGCAGGGACACCTCACTATACCTGCCATTTTGTACAAAAACCCCATTTGTTGTCATTTTTCTCAAACCATCGGTTCTGTATAACCTTACATGCTAACAATGTTGTTTGATTTATTTTTTTTTCTACAGCTTATTGCAGTGCTACAGCATATAAAACATTAACAGAAAATGTTGGTTGTCTTGTGTTACCTGGCCCGCCACCATGTAAGATGGATGGTGTGAATTCATCACCTACAGTGGTGCCTTTTTTTTAGATTACAGTCTTTTGATAAAAAAAAATAAAGTAAATGGAACATTAAAGGCTTGTTCTTTTGTTAACAGCTGTTTGTTACAGGACACTTTATCATGGTGTAAATACGCTCCCTTCCTGTTCTCTTTCATATGTATGCCTTTCTGATCGAATGAATGACTTTTTCTTTCTTGGAAATTTACAATGTCCTTTTTAGTGGTATTCTGCAATGTCACGGTGGCTTGTTTCGGTGCTTCATTCAATGTATTAACCGGTATCCTTTTGCAATTAAAACAGTTGTATTTCACCTCTCTGGTCTTGAGTTTATCACTAACTCTTAAGGATTGTTTTTAGTCTGATCTACACAGATATATGCACATTTTAGACCCTAATTGTTTGTCTCAAATCGCTGCACGCACATTTCACATGTATGTTCCTGTGCATGTTGTAAGTGTGCAACACTAGTGGCCAATGCTCGGTGTATGCGAAGAATCAATTGAGATATATAAATAGATAAAAAAGACTTGAGTTCAAAATAGTATTGTGTTCATGTGAAGATCACTACATAACCATCTTCATCACCATGGGAACAGGAAATCTGTCTCTCACATTTTCAGTGATGGCCAATCATGTTGGACATTGAACATTGCCAGTTTAATAATTATAATATTGACTGAAAATGTAGAAACGTTGCTTGTCATGATCTTTAATCTACATTAAATATGGGATATGGATTAGGGAAACTGTGTATTAATGACTCCAGGAATAGCTCCAGTTACTGCTATATGAAAGTAAACATTGTTTTGCAAAATAACTAAAATTAGATGATAATTTTGGAAACTAGTTTTCCCCCATGTACCCCAGTGCCATTCCTGTAATTATCATCAGCATAATAAATAATGAGGACCGTTGCATTCATTCCGCCTACATAAACTCAATAATCCCCACGTGTATCTAAGCTGTGGAATATAAGAGAAATATCCATCCATAATGAACAAATATATATATATCGTATCACATATAAAATGTTCTAGCAGAAGTCCAGATGACAACAGCTCTTACTTCAGAACAAACTCCATGTATTCATTAATAATAGTAGTGATACTTTGGAGGCAGACCTCAGCTCATTCACACTATTAAATATGCAACATCTTAATGTAGATTTGTTGTAGGCCTTTCTCTCCGGACCATAACTGCACATTTTTATTATTGCTGTATTGTGCTTGAGGAAAAAAAAAACCCTCTGCCCACAGCTATAATATGACACTGAATCTGACATGCTGAAGTTTGAAGATTTAGTAGCTTGCTCTGGCGGCCTCTACTGCTGGGCTCAAGTATGGACACAAATGTGCCATTTTTTTGCCATTCCTACTGTATGAAACCACACATTTACCTTAATGAATATTCTGCCATCTGCTGGCTATGACCTGTGCACACCTTAATTTGACATTTCTCCTCAATGACAAGATCACACACTACATATACATTCCAATAAAATAGACCTCTTGACTAACTGAAATGACTTTTGGATTGGCATCATGCCAAAAATTAAGAAAGATAAACATGAATAAAAATCACTATCTTGTAATATAAAAAGACTGTAAATGTTTAAAACGGGCACTGAGAACTGAATGTGTGTCTTTGTTTCCAACCATTCCAGGTCATCAAAGGTCATAAGAACAATCATCTGCAAAAAGTCTTTCCTCTGTAACTACCCTTTAATGTTTCCACAGAAGTGAGACTGCGTGACCTTAACCTATTTGGAGTCACAGGGTCTGACTGTCTGCATTGTCATCAGCTCAGATTAGATGAGAAATTCGCCATTTTAATCAGCTCATATGATCCTTTCGTTCTCAGACTCTGATTTGTTTAAGGTAGAAGGAAATCAAAACAAACAAGCATGCAGTTTGTTAGCCGTTCTGCCTAAATCATAATCTTTGAGACATTTGGCCATTGAGTCTTTGAATGCTAAATATGACGGAAAACTCTTAAATTGAAGCCAACAGGATCAGTAATAACGGCTCTAGTGAACAGGCTTTGTAGAAATACTTGATATAGGGATTCATATTTGTAATTCCTGAGGCCTTGAACAGTACAGTCCATTCGATGTTTGTTGACAATCTGATGAGATTATGATAGAAAATCCAGAGCTGCTCAGTCGACATTGTGGACTGCTATTTTGTGCTAGAGAATTTACCCTTATTCCAATTACTCTGTGCTTTCTGTAGACAACCTACTTTCAGATGTCACATCTTGAAGACGATAAGGGTTAAAGTTCACTGCCTTCTGGCTTCGAGAAAAATAGTTTCATGTTAACAAATATTGGCTGGACAGATATTTCTCTTTCACCTGTCCTGTCCTGTTGTATTGAAATCCAGACACATTATCACGAGTGTGTCTGTGCGGGGATGAGTCCTTTTTTATTTTAGAAAGATGACAAGGGACTGGTTTTATTATGATACAAATGAGCAGGGTTCAGATCTCAGCTGAAGTACAAACAGGAAGCTGTCAGCTGTTTGCAGCTTTGTAACAGCATAATAAGAGGTGTGAATCTCTGCTAATAGTCCCACGAGGCTGTAATGTTCCTCACATCCCAGTGCACAACCAAGTGATACAATAATGGTTCAATTTGTGGAACCTTAGTGGTGGGATTGAAAATGTAAAGTTTGTCCTCAAGGTGGCACTATCAATCTCTGTGGAAGTATAATCATACTCAGAAAATATTATTTTGGTGTGCTTCTCAGTTTATGAAATATTTTAGGTATAAGTAAATTTTGTCCTGAATGAAAGCTCATGAAGTGAAAATGTTCATCCTCAAGGGAGCATGAACTGTAGTAAATGTCTTACAAATCTGTGCAAGAAGCGAGATGAAAAGTCTCCAAAAGAATTCTTCCTCTGGCGACACTGAGTATTTACAGATTTACATTTCATAGAGATTTGGGCAGTAGATGATGAAATATCAGACCAACTGACCGACATCAACATCCTCTGACACAGCTAAGTGCACTAATGGACCTAAGCATGAATTAAATGACCAAAATAAATAGGACATTATGAAATAAACAGTCATACAAACACATAGTGTAAAACATGTGTTAACGTCCTGCCACCCTTTCCCCGGATGAGCGGTTGAAGATGGTTGAATGGATGTGTTAATTAACTGAACAAAAATCATTTAATTTAAATAGTGATATGAATGACGTTTAATTATGAAATTTCAGATTTTATTGCATAATGCCATTATTTCCAGTTACACTTTAATTTCATGACACCTTTCAACCAATCAACTAGCTGCTGCTGCAAAATAAACACACTGCATGGACTAATCTCTGCTTTGTTGTAAACACTGCATTGACATCTCATCACCTTTTAAGTTAATGTGGCTAACGTGTCAGCAAACAGTTGCTTATTTAAATATCCAGCAGTTATGGAGCAAATAACCTATTTGGAGTCATGTTTTTGGCCACCTGGCAAATGTAAGTTCAACATTTACTCTCTTTAAGCTCTGCTTTTGTTCTCTACCAACTCCACTTGGAGCTGTGGCTGGATAGCTAAACAATGAGCTGAAACTAAGAGAGACCCCTTTTACATTGTGTCATTGTTTTCACATTGTCATTTGATACATTGCTATTATGAAAATGCAAATTAACCTGTAGTCACTTTAATATTAAATTAAGAATCATAAAATAACATTTGATAATAACTAGTGAATTTATTTATGAAGTTATTTCACAATTCATTTGTTTATTATATTATATTTTACACAATTTATCCATATAGTGAGAGTATGTATTTCATGATATCTTTTTTATTTATTTGATATTGAACACTTTGGGGCTAAACATGATGGAGGAAATTAACACATTCACAACATTAACTTGATCATTTAAATTTTTAAAGAAATTAATGAACCTAATTAAGTCGTCCCAGAAGTGTACGTACTGTGCGTCCCATTCGCTTTTGTGTTTGTGACCAACATCTCATAAACATAACTGGCATTAACTTCTCTGAGAACATACTCTTCGCCACAAGGAAGAGTCTTTTGACCCTTTCCTTATTGCCACTATAAGAACACACTTTGGCTGCCCTTTTATACAAGTATAACCATATACCCAGTGCAATGCTGATTGTGAAAGTGACAACTGTAGATTTTTAGATCTTACTGATGATCTGAACTCTTTCACAGTGCTGTCTATGTTCATGCCATACACTTTGATACTAGATAGATTTTCTTCTCCTTTCTCAAACATGCCTTTTCTCGTTTGATTGTATCTGAAACTTTTCATTTGTCCTCTCTCATGTCACCGCTAATCCAAATGATTTACTTTCATTTTCAGGATTATCTTCAGCTTGTGTACTTAGCTCCTGCATGGATTTACCTCATCACTGTTGGCTCCTTTCAAACATTCTTTTCCCCTCAATTTCATGGCTGGAATTATCCAGTGGATGGTTTGTCCGTCTGAGGGAGTCAAAGTGCTACTTGTGCTCCATAAAAGTTAAGCGTGGACCACTGAGTGCGTACCAGTTTGTCTTATTTCCACAGTTCGCTTACAGCTTGAGGATAACATATGGCTTATTAGCTGTGTTTGTACAATTTGACTGACCTCTGTCTAATTGGAAGATTTCTTTTTTACTGGTGAGGCAACATCAACAAATGATTTAACAGGGACAGATGTGACAAAACTACCAGCACATAAGGAGAGATGAACATCACATTAAGTGGGAGTTTTCTCTTGCTATCGTAAAGGAACAGTCATTGAACACATTTTTACTTGTTTCACCTGAGTTGCTGAGTGGTGGGAGTGAAGGTTTTCCATTTCAGTCCCCCCTTCCCTCCCTTCTTGCAATCACCATGTCAGCCTTTGCATGACACCTCCTTCAGCAGGAGAGGTGCTCGTCAGACCAGTTTTCAGCCAGTGTTTATGTGCAAACGTATTTGGGTAAGTACTCTAAGACGGAAGTTCAAACTCAAGAAACTGGATTTGGTTCTGAGAAAGGTGTAACAAACTATTTTTAATGTAACAGATCTCCTAACAGAAATGTGAGACTGATTTTAACACACCTCTCAGGAGCTTGAGAGAACGCTGAACATTTTCATCACTTGAAGGATTAGACAGCCCTCCACAGGTGAGTGTTATTTTAAACTACTACTACTACTAGTGCTACAGGCACTTAAAACCCTTAATTTCTTGTTTTAACATTTTTCTTTACTATGGTTTCATTTATTAAACATCTGTCATTTATTTTGTTTGTTAGTTTGTGTTTAATTCACTATTTATGAGACATTCAGGTCCTTTCTTACCTCAA